GGAAGTTTTCCTTCCGATCGCTTTTTCCGATATTTCCCTGGCCTTTGTCCATCCGACCTTCGAACTTTGCGAGGGTTCAAGGTGAGAGTTCCGCTCGAATTGCCTCGATTATCGATAGACGCTACTATAGACTATCGCTCGTAAACAAAAAGCGACAGCTGAAAAACACGCAAACGCAATCGTAGCGAATTCGTGATGAATTAAGCTGACTCGTGTTACTGAATATTCCGACAAAGATCTACTTACAGAAATATTCTATCTACATTTTATAAGGATTTATTTGGCCAATAATAATTTATTTCGTCGTCAGCGCCAAGTTCGTCTCGATACAAACGCTCATCACCAACTGCCTTTGCAATTTCCTTTCTTTGTTTTTCGTCGTTTGTTCGAAAACAACGCAGCATCGCAGACCAGCCTCGAATACACAACACGCACACTCACACATCCTTATAATACTCACGTTGCATATTTTCTTTCCCGTGTAAATTGTAGTCTTCTTGTACATACACTTGTAATCGTTCATTAAAATTTTGGTTCCTTTATATTTCCGAATCGCAAAGCGTGAAATTCGTTCGTCTAATAATTCGTTGGAAAGATAGTTTCAGTAATTTTAACCCTTTGCACTCGAGAGGTGACTCTCAGTCACCACTTGATTTGATACAGTAACACTATAAAATTGAATATTTAGTATTTTAAATGAAACTTTATATTGCTATAGGAAATATTTAAATAAAATTACTTTGTCGCTTAATGTATCTGTGAATGAACGTTATATTAGTTTCGAACAGTGTCGTCTGTATCTCGTCGAAAAGCGTTAAATATTTCCAGTGAAAAACTTTCGAGTGTAAAGGGTTAACACTAGAACTACCGTACCATATTTTCTTACAACTTGAACAGTATAATCTGCAATAATCGTCGTTAGCAACAGAAATACCAAGAAACCTGTGGAAACATTGAAATCTTGGATGTAATTATAATTTTTCAACAGAAACCTTCTTATTGTTGCTTCAGTGAAAACACAGCTTGAACGTTTCTTATCGGACGAGCGTCTTGCGCAACGCTTCGCGCGCCGCTTCAATGTCACCTTTGATTGCCGCTCGACCATTGTTCCCGATCCGTTTTCAGCGTTAATTATCTCCTAAGGACGCGTTCCCGGTAATGATCGATAACAAAAGCGGCGTATTCGCGAGACCGCGTTTTCTCGCGACGAGAAAAAGAAGATAATTGGCTCCGGTTTAATGCGGTTTAAGGCCTGTAAGTGGTTCGAGTCGATAACTCGCGCGACAGGAGGTCGACGATTAATTGTTCCGCGTGATAAATCGACCGCGGAGGTAACCGGCCGCGGCTGGTACCTAAATTAGGCGTGCTGCGTCTCTGAAATCGACACAGCGATGGACAGCGATCGATGTTTCGACTTGTATCTTCGACTAACAATATTTTCGCGTCGTAATATTCATCTGTGGCAAGGTTACTGTCGTTTGTTGCTTTTATTATTATCATTTTTACTGTAATACTGTATTGTTATTACAACATTATAATCTCTGTTGCTGTATCATTACTGTTATTATTATTATAATTATTACGTTACCAGTATTGCTATATTATCATTATTATAATATTATTATCTCCGTTGATGTATTATTACTTTTATTATTATCATAATCATTACGTTACCAATATTGCTATATTATCATTATTATAATATTATTATCTCCGTTGATGTATTATTACTTTTATTATTATCATAATTATTACGTTACCAGTATTGCTATATTATCATTACTGTAATATTATTATCTCCGTTGATGTATTATTACTTTTATTATTATTATAATTATTACGTTACCAGTATTGCTATATTATCATTACTATAATATTATTATCCCCCTTACTGTATTATTACTACTATTATTGTCATTACATTACCAGTATTGGTATATTATCATTACTGCAATACTATTATCTCTGTTGCTGTATTATTACTATTATCATTATTACCATTACATTACCACTATTGCCATATTATCATTATTATAATATCGTCATCACTATTACTATATTATTACAACTATATCATTCGCCGTCGAATCGAAACGAAGTATCACAGCTCGCAAAAATCGCTGCATCAACGATCGTCCGAAAACAATCATTCAGGCCTCCCATAGACAACACCATACATCCCGAAGAATTCCGATTCCTCTCAAACCTTCTTGCCCCCGAAATCTCCCGCTTTCTCCGTGACAGTTCCCCCGAACTCTATTGTCCGTACGATCGGTTTTTGCGCGACTCTGTCGCAGTGCCATCGGCGAGTGAAACAATTAAACGTACTTTCTCCGGCAACGGGGACGTCGAACGATTCCCGTGAAACGCTCCCAAGTGGACGAGCACGGGCGAAGAGAGACAGAGAGCCGGAGAAGAGGCGTTCAAAATCTGTGCTCGAACAAACGCGCTCTCCCGATTATTGCTCGGTATCTCCATACCGCGGGCCGAGTGCAATTAACCGGGACTTAACAGCGCCGGGACCAATTGAATCGAAAATCTCGATCGTTCCGAACGCGCGCGTCGTTCGACCGAGGAAATCCGAGGGAAAACCGTGGGCGTCCCAAGCAATTCGCGTGTCACGCTCCCTCGACCGGATAATCGGTCGCCCCACCCCTCCCTTCCCCCTTTTTCTTTCTCTTTTTTCGTTGTATTATTCGTTGGCTAACTTGCACGATAAACAACGGGGATTTCCCCGGGTCTGCTTTTTGTCCGCAGTCCAGAAGGAGGGCGGCACGCAGCTGAAGCTCGAGATCAACTATTCGTACATGCAGGCGCTCTTCAAGCCTATGAGGTGAGTGGCAATTCCACGGTTTCTCCGGGAATTAGGAGTCGTTCGAGGACTCTCGTCGACTGCACTCCGTTTAATCGGGACGCGGGTCCTGCGCGACTTTTATTTCGACGGCTGGGATCGTTCGCGTCGCACCGCGCGGTATTTGCCTGTCTTACGCAGCCAACAGTGACATTAGGGCACTCATCGTCGCTGTAGCTTAAAAAACAAAAGAAGAGACACTCTAAACCGGGCGGCCAATCGGTGTGCGTGTAAATGCTCAATTTTGCTATAACTATGCCGCTTTTTTCTTCCTTGAGTTCAGTTGACAACGACATCGGCTCGCGTGAGCAACTTAACCCAGTATCAACAATCGTAGAAACAACAACGTAGAAACAGCATCAACTAAAAATCGTCTTTGCGTTGATGAAATTACCCAGATGAAATTACCCCACTGAATCAGTTTCTTTAACGATTTCTCAGAGAGGCATTTGCACGTTTCTAGTAATTGTAAAAGAAATCAAGAATGGGTCGTTCCGACCCATCTGGTAGTTCTAGTCTTAAAGACGGGTTTGTACCGACTTTTTCAAGAGAATATGAGAATGTGATGGAATAATGAACAGTATTATGCAATTATATGGCATATTATATTATATTTGTTAACACATTGTACGCGGGAAACGTAAAAATACTATTTCCATCTAACGTCGAGTAGTATTAAATAGATACTCGTATAACTTCATTAACATTTTTGGTAAATGTAGGTAGTTGATTTCTTTTGTGCATGCTTGAAAGTATTTCTATTTGTAATGGAAACTCTCGAAAATATATTGAATAATAAATAAATAGTCCGCACGCAATGTGTTAATAGAAATTATATTAATTTCATAAACTAGTCGAAAAGCGCCTGATTTTCAGTATAATTCAGCACCTCTCGAATGCTGCAAGGATTAAAGAATTGTTAAGAGATTGTTCCTTATATATTCAGCTGTCTCCAACAGTAAAAATTGTTAGGTTTAGGTAAATTTTTGAAAATAGCCTTTTGGCCTAGATCGAGCGAATAACTGATTATGCGTCGGTCCATTCGTGATTTTCTATTGTAATCCATTGTATACTCAAGCTACGTAATTTCTGGTATTTTTCGTTTTCCCATCGAAGTTCTGTCTACTGATTATTAATAATTAATTAAAGTTCGCGTACACGTAGTAGAAACCGATCGAGTTACTCGAGACTCTAGTTATTGTATTATTGACTGTCACTTTCTTAATGCTCAGGAATTCTTTTGTCTCCCTTCTGTTAATTACATTCACGTATCATTGCGTTCGAAGCTCAAGACACGAACAATCAAACGAAAGAAATTAAGACACCGCACCTTTCTAAACGATGCGGATCATTTCCTGCCACGCTCGATCGAAATAGTCGTCGCGAAGTTGAACTCCGATAAATATTCTTCCGCTGGTCAATTATTTATCTCGTTTCCCGGCCGGTGGAAAAAAGAAACACTCATCGGCCTACTTACAACGCTCGATAAAGTTTTATTTGTTCGCGCATCGACGAGCGTAACACTGCTTTCGAGTGAATTTGCGCGCGAGCAGATAAGAAGAGACTTGTATTATCTGGAGTGGCGTTTAGCGCTTTTTTTTAATGCGACTCTCGACACTGAGCGGACAAGATAAGCGCTAATGAACGGCTCGACGAATCGTGTTCCGTTTGAAATGAATGATGCATTCATCGTTTCACGAAGAGTTGGCGTTTCTTTCGTGGCAAGTATACTTGTCGAACATAGTATACATATAGCTGCTAATATTCAATTAATTCAATAAATTCAATAAATTCAATAAATTCAATTAAACTCGATCAATTCGATCAATTCGATCAATTCAATCAATTCAATCAATTCAATTTCACTTTCCCCCTTACGATAACGTCTGATACTCGTAAAGATTTGAAACAGAATTGAATAGCATAAACATTACTCGATCCTATGAGTTCGAAACATTACTTTTCCATTATCAATGATTATTATAAAGCCAAGGTAGACACAGAATATGCATAGAATTTTTGTCTTCAGTGAATTATCAGTCGTGTCACAGTTAAGAAGTAAGTCATAGGATAAAGGGTTGAATTATAAGGAAATAATCAATTCTTTTCACTCAATAATATACGTTATTACACAAAAAAACTGTCGTTCCTTCGTGAAGAGTACACTCGTCGTTCACAGCTAAGAGGTTAAAGTTCGACTGCATCTTCCCCCCGGCTCGCCGGAGTAGTTCGTTCGGTGGCACCGGCGCTTATCTCCGGAGAACGCGCGTGAGGCTATAAGTAACACTCGGCGAACCGAATGCGCCACTTAGCGTTACAAATGAACGCGCAAAACTTCGGGGATGAAGATAAGAGGGGAAAGTTTCGCGCCCCGGGACCAACGCCGGGCTCGCCGCGGATTATTTTGACGGTAATCGAATCCGCGGGACCTCCGAAACCTACCCTCGCTTGCGATAAAATCGACGTTGTTGGACACGCGAATGTTAGTTCCGGGGATTAACAATTTATTTAATCGCCGAACTCGCGCGAACACTTTCCCGCGACCCGCATTTTCACCCTTCGAACGTGCAATTCACGAGAGAAGTTCGTTTTTGGACTTGCGCAGATATCCCCGGGACTTCCTGGCTGGTTTTATCGAATGAAATTCAATGAAACACGATTGGATGAGGTTAGAATGAAATTAAATTGTATTTTTCATAAACGGCGAAGTATTTTCGCGGGACGTCCCAAACCCACCCTCGCGCGGTAAGTTTTCCAGTTTTAAAAATTTTCGAGCTTTCAAATTTTGAAATTTGCAAGTCCTCAAATGTTCAAATTCACAAGTTCTCAAATATGCAAGTTCTCCAGTTTACAAATTTACAAATTTTCAAATTCTCAAATGTTCAAATTCATAAGTTTTCAAATTTTTCAGTTTTCAAGTTTTCAAGTTTTCAAATTTTCAAATTTGTAAGTTTTCAAATGTTCAAATTCACAAGTTTTCTAGTTTTCAAATTTACAAGTTTCCAAATTTTTAAATTTTCAAGTCTGCAAACTCTCAAGTTCTCAAGTACTTAGATTTTCAGATTTCTAAATTTTCACATGAGATTTCTTGCAAGCTTCCATCATTTTACCACCCTCCCCGATATATTACGATACATTTCAAATACAACCAAGATTGTACCAAACTGGCAATCTCTTGCTACGAGTATATTCGTGACTGACACTGACAGGTTAATAAAACACGATTGGATGAGGTTAGAATGAAATCAAATTGTATTCTCCATAAACAACAAAGTATTTTTTCAAAGCTAACCGATCCTTCTCGAGGAAGTTCATTAATAACCGCATTATTAAAATATCTTCCTTCGTCACGGGGCTGCTTAGTCTCGAGAAATCAAGTTTCCGAGACTTCCGAGGAAGTTCCGGGGCTTGAAGCTTGCAGTTAGTGCAAAATTCGTCCGGTAGTTTGTCCGTGACGTTGGCCCCTGGTCGCAAAGTCCCGTGGGAGTCACTCGTGGTCCCGATACCGTGGATTTCCCGGGAATTGACGTTGTAACGTCTCTCTTTGGAATTTGGGAATAATAGTAACTTCGTTTGCGAACAAAGAAGCTTTTTTCAGAATTTATTATTGCAGTCTGGAGTCGAGTTGACTTATAGTAGCACCTTTAAGAAACTTCCTTGCTCATTGAATTCATTCCTAAATGATTCTTTCATTTTGTCTCTACAATCTTCCTAATATAACAGGTAACTAATAATCAACTGCGAATCATCATGCAGATTCAAATATTTCAAGATGTCTTTAGAAAATTATTTAAAACTGTAATAGGAGATAGTTTCTCTGATTAGATACTATAAAGATCACCATACTTCAGATATTTTGTATATTTTCGTGTCTAAGTTCTACGGAATGTCGCACTTTCTAATTCCTCGAAAAGGAAGAAAAGATTTCCTAAGAATTCCTCGTCCTCGAGCACGTTCCACCAACATCAGCTTCCGGCCGTCAAAGTCCCGCGCCCTAATGCCGAACAAATGACGAATCCGAGAAGTCACGATCAGCCAACCCTCGACACGCGTGTTCTCTTCTCGATCCTCGTGAAAACGTTTCTGGGTCTCAGACAATGGGAGGATGTGACGTATCGCGTTCTCCGGAGGAAGAAAGCGAAAGAAAGGAAGGCAGGGAAAAAGAGTGAGGGAGGGAGAGAGTGCACGGGCGATGATAATTGAATAGAAGAGGCAAGGACAATTCGAGTGGCTCTCTCACGACACGAGGCACTTGGGCCTCCACTTATGTAATTGTGCTCGTAATCCCATCCCACGTAACTTCGTCAGCCGCGGTTCGTTCGTTCGTTCGTTCGTTCGCTCGCTCGCTCGCTCGCGCGCGGAAAAACCGCAAGCCGAGCGCCGTGTCACGGCCTCTCTCGGGGTTGAACAGAAAAAAGAGAAAACGGGGAAACGCGCCGCGGTAATTTCCTATTTTCGCGCGGTCCTTAATAGTTTTCTAACATTAAATCTCGTTAGTTGTTCCTTGGTTCTTGATTGATCTTGAGATTATTCTTTGTTCCTTTAACTTTGACCCTTGATCTGCTGTTCTCGATATATCGTCTTTAATCATCAAATCTTGAGAATTTTATTTTACTTTGATTTTCATTTACGGTAATTTCCTAACTTCGCGTGACCTTAATAGTTTTCTAACATTAAATCTCGTTACTTGTTCCTCGGTTCTTGATTGATTTTGAGATTGTTTCTTGTTCCCTTAACTTTGACCCTCGATCTGTTGTTGCTCTTAATATATCGTCTTTAATCGTCACATCTCGAGATTTTTATTTTACGTAACCTCAATAGTTCTCTAAAATTACATCTTTGTATTCTTGATATGTCAACTTTAAAACAAAGGAGCGAAAACACAAAAGAACATCAAAGTATATAAAAATAACCAAAACCTTGAATATAACTTAATATTTCATTAAAAAGATCAATACAATTTATCAGCAAAATATAACCAA